ACCCCTCCCACACTCCTCCTCCCACACCCCTCCCACACTCACCACCACACCCACACTGTCACGTCCGTACAGCTCATCATGGTTGTTTTCACCGAGTTAGTGATATTTCCTCTCCATTATGATGTACTCGGCGTTTGTCTTGCCTTTGTTTACGTGTGTCCAGGTGTGAGGTAAACTGTGGAGGGTGCAGGTGGCGCAGCTCCCCCCAGCGTTAGTAAACTACACGTCGTCGTCGAGGACCATGAGGCTGCCTGGGGAGAGTAATTTACTTTTAAACTTTGTGGGGAAAAATAACCTGGAGGTAAAGTTTGTATAATGCTCTGGCTCGCTGTTGACTGACTGACTGACTGTTGAATAATATTAATAATTGTGCTGCAGGAAGTATAATAATTTTAAAACTATCTTGTCACTAAAATCAGAAGGATAAAAATGAAACTAATGCTGTTAAGTAGAATGAAGTCTTATATTCTTCACACACAGAACTCAGTAGACCTCCGTTGGTCATAACTTGCCAGAGGGCGATCTAATGAAGCCCCTTTACTATATAAAAATCTATATATCATCAGAATATATATATAGACAACTATATCATCACAACACAAGGATGATGATGACGATGGTAGTGATGATGATGATGATGAAGAACTTATCATTGGCTATGTTAACCCTCTCTTGGAAAGAAAAAAAATATCCCCCTCATGTGAAAACAACATCCATTAGTCAGGTCAGGGAAGGCTTACACCACCACTGTCACAACACCAGACTCGAGTAAACTTGACAAGATCCACAACAGAGATGAAGCAAGTCAATAATAACTTTGATGACGATGGTTTAACTCTTTGATGACGATGGTTTAACTCTTTGATGACGATGGTTTAACTCTTTGATGACGATGGTTTAACTCTTTGATGCCGATGGTTTAACTCTTTGATGCCGATGGTTTAACTCTTTGATGACGATGGTTTAACTCTTTGATGACGATGGTTTAACTCTTTGATGCCGATGGTTTAATTCTTTGATGACGATGGTTTAACTCTTTGATGACGATGGTTTAACCCTTTGACGACGATAATGATGATTTAGCCCTTCAGAACTCCAAAGGGTTAAACTACAGGAGGAGTATCAGGTAGGAGGGGTGGGAGGAGACATTGTATAGGGTCATTCCTCAGGTGTAATTAGTGGGAGGAAAAAGAGATGCTGGTGGTGCTCCTCTGAGACCCCCCCCCCTTACCACAGCGCCCAGGGTAGTATTAATATTCAAGCAATTTCATGTATCTAATTTGAATATTGGGTATTTGCATAAAATTGGGATTCAAATGAGTGTTTCGAGTTGCCATGAACGTCCCAGGGTAATGGTGGAGGGAGGGAGGGAGGGGCGGGAGGCTGTATTACATTATCTCGAAAGGTTTTTCAGTTTACGGGAAAACTTTCTTTAAAACCAAAACAAACAAAAATTAATTAGAATCACTACTACGTGTTCATTTACATATTATTTTTTAGTAATTCATTTTTATTCATGCAGGGGGGGGGTGTGCTTTATTTCATTGTGTGTTTTTCAGTTCATTTACAACCGTTTGAAATATTGCAGTGATCCTTCGTATGACCTTTCCTCTTCACTCCAAAATTCGTGGTTGTTTACTCGAGGTATAAGGTTAGAGTCGCCCTGTGTATGAGTTGTGTCCTCTGATAGTTGTTGCATCCTGAGTGATCCTTCTGACGGTGGTGGTGCCGCGGCGATAGTGGTGGTAGTAGTTGTTATGCAGGTAGGGGGTGTACTTGTTGATGGTTGAGTGTCTCGAGTTGGCCAGGTGTCAGTGGCGGAGAGTGTAGGTTGTCTGTCACCAGTATCTCCCCTCGTACTCCTCCACCAAGTCTTAATCCATCTCCTTCCTCACCCCCAACTTCCCCACCATCACCCCACTTCCCCACCATCACCCCATTTCCCCACCTCCTCATCTTCCCCACTCTGTCACTATACTTTATCCTTCCTCGCCTCCTCCCGGTGCAGTGTCCTAGGGGGTAGCAGCAGCACCACCTCACCCTTGGGTAATTACTGAGGCTGACCCAGGAGCCTCTTTGTTCTGATGACTCCACCACCTGCAGGACCTCTTGCTCTCTTATCCTCCGCCTATTATGATTTGGTGTTCTCGTTCTCAGATTTTTTGTATTTTTTTTTTTTGCTGTTCAGTAGGTATGTTATCTATTTTCCTGACACACACACACACACACAGAGAGAGAGAGAGAGAGAGAGAGATTTTCTCCCCTTTCCTTACATTGCTCCCTCGCCCCTCACACCCCCGTCTGTCCCTTACGCCTACCATCTCCCCTGTCGTTCACAACCACCCCTCCTCACCCACTTCTCTTGACCCTCCATAACCTCTTCCCTCCCTCCCTCACCCTTTCTTCCTCCTCCCTCCCCTCCCACCACCCCTTTCTTCCCTCCCTTTCACCCCTTTCTTCCCGCCCTCACCCACCCCTTTCTTCCCCCCTCACCCACCCTTTCTTCCCCCTCACCCACCCCTTTCTTCCTTCCCTCCCTCACCCACCCCTTTCTTCCCCCCCCTTCCTCAGCTCTCTTCCCCCCTCACCCACCCTTTCTTCCCCCCCCCACCCCCTTTCATCCTCCCTCACCCACCCCTTTCATCCCTCCCTCCACCCACCCCTTTCATCCCTCCCTCACCCACCCCTTTCTTCCCGCCCTCACCCACCCCTTTCTTCCTTCCCTCCTCACCCACCCCCTTCTTCCTTCCTCCCTCACCTTTCTTCCTTCCCTCCCTCCACCCACCCCGCTTTCTTCCTTCCTTCCCTCCTCACCACCCCTTTCTTCCCCCTTCACCCTTTTCATCCCTCCTCACCCCTTTCATCCCTCCTCACCCACCCCCTTTCATCCCACACATAGTCTGTAAATACGTCATGTCATCAGAGAAGAAGTCAATACTCAGTGTTTCCCGCGGGTTATCGTCCTGCAGGGTGGAGTATAGCGACAGGTGACTGGACTCAACTACTGACGGGGTAACATGCCTGGTGCAGGAGTTTTGTCGGGGAATTGATGCACATTGTTCGGAGTTATTGGCGAATGGGGACTTGATAGCTGCATTTCATTACCTGTAGCGGCGAATACATTTCTACCTGTGATTTTTAGGTCCATGAAGGCATTAACTGACTGACTGAAGGGGTTTTATAACGCAGCCCCACGCTGGCCCTACCTTAATTACCCCCCCGCCCCTCCCTCCCACACCATCAGTCGTCTCCTCATTGGGTTGAATCATGGCGTGGGTATCAGCCTCTCCTCGGTAGCCATTAACGCTGCTGATTCACGTATCTTGACCAGCCATACTGTACTATAACTCTGTGGTACAGCAGTAACAGGAAGGACTGGTTATTGACGTGGTAATGAGCGTTGGAAACTAGTGGAGACACTTGGCTATTACGTTTGGTAGTTATTATTATTATTATTATTATTATTATTATTATTATTATTATTATTATTATTATTATTATTATTACTACTACTATTACTACTATTATTACTATTATTGCTGTTGTTGTTCCACCCTCCTCTGATGGTCAATCACCTCTCCCACCTTGTCTGTTTCTCTCCCATTATAGTCACTTCCTTCCCATCACAGCTATACCTGTAGATTGAAAGTGAGCTTGTTTAAAACAGTGTTGTAATAAGTGTTGTTTGTGTTGCAGGTGGAGTAGCATGGTGAAGGACACCAGGCGCGCGGCCCCACCGGCAAGATGACCCAGACGACATACTCCCGCCCTCACCCGCGGGGCCGCCCACCTCCGCCCCCGCCCCACCCACAAGCCAGTGTAGTAATGAGGACGTGTATGAGGTGGCAACATGTGGTAGTGGCAGTGGTAGTGGCAGTAGCAGTTACCTGCGGGGGTGCGGCGGGTAGTGTGGGCGAGCTGGTGCGGTTCTCAGCTCCTCAGTACAATGCCAGCGTGCCAGAGAACGCTCTCGGCAACACGGCCGTCATCAGCGACACCATGATGGGCATATATGCTACTGACCCCGCCCTCAAAATCAAGTATCGCATCACAGAGGGTGATGACAAAAACTTCTTCAGGGCGGCCAGGCGCGTCGTCGGCGACTTCTCTTTCCTGGAGTTGCGGGTGCGTACTGGGAACCTCCAGTTCCTTAACCGGGAAAGTCGGGACCAGTACCGCCTCAAAGTGAAAGCACAGCACCGCCGCCACGACGGCACCAAGGAGGACCTTCCGGGCGCTGTCACAGAGGTGGTTATTACCATTACGGACCTCAACGACATCTCGCCGTTCTTCCTGCAGGAGGAGTACCGCGTGCGCCTAAGTGAGGACACGCCCCTCCATGCCTCGGTGGCGCGCGTCAAAGCCGAGGACCCAGACGATGGCCTGAACGGCCAAGTATATTATAGTTTCTTACACCCAACGTCAGTGTTCGCTATCCACCCTACCTCGGGGGTGGTCACCCTCACACGACCACTCAGCTTCCTGGATCAGGCCGCGTATGAGTTAACGGTGCAGGCGCAGGACCGCGGGCGCCAACATCGCGGGGGCTGGCCTGCACACTCCAAACTTTACATCAACGTTACTGAAGAAAACGTGTATGATCCACAGATATTAGTGAACAAGTTGCCCGAGTCGATGCCTCGCGCCCACCTGGCTGTGGTCGCCATTATCAGCATTATGGACCAAGACCGAGGCCCCAGTGGCGAGGTCAGGTCACTAGAGATAGTTGAAGGCGACCCCGACCGTGTGTTTCGCATCCTGCCAGGATCTGATGCTAATGAATTTAACCTGGCTGCTCTTGACACCATCGACTGGAACGACTCGCCATTCGGCTTTAACTTAACACTGAAAGCTACTGACGGAGGCAATCGACCACGGTTCAGTTACAAGGTGGTGCGTGTGGCGGCACCACCAGGACCTCAGCATGAAGAGGTGTTCACGCAGAAGTTGTACGAGGCTTCCGTGAGTGAGAAGGCCCCCATAGGCACACGGGTACTGCAAGTAGGGTCCTGGCTACCAGGAGCACAACGACGCGTCCAGTTCACTGTACTGGCAGGCAACAAAGGAAGACAGTTCCACTTGGATCCATTCTCGGGGGTAATTACCACGGGGGCGACCCTAGATGCTGAGATTCGCACTGACTACACTCTCACTGTGGGCGCTACCAGCCCCTCCCTTCTCCAGCCGCAGCAGCAGGCCTCAGCGAAGGTAATAATTCGCGTTATGGACGCTAACGACAACACGCCCATGATTGTTGCACCTCAAGGTGTTGTGCGCGTAGAAGAACACCATCCCGCTGGCACCTGGGTAACCAAGGTGAGGGCACAGGACTATGACTCCGGGGAGAATGGTTATGTCTCATACAGTTTAGCCAACGCCGACGATGTGCCTTTCACGGTAGACCACTTTACAGGCGAGGTGCGCACCACCCGGGCCCTCGACTATGAAACTGAGCGGCGCACATGGCGACTGCTGGTGCGTGCATCAGACTGGGGCTCCCCCTACCGTCGCCAGAGTGAGAAGATCATCACGGTGCACGTGGAAGACGTCAACGATAATAGGCCACAGTTTGAGCGGGTAGATTGTACAGGTTATATCGACCGCTTTACTCCGCTGGGATCAGAAGTGTTTACCCTCTCGGCTGTAGACTTCGACCAAGGAAATATTATCAGTTACAGGATCGTGGGCGGTAATGAAGACCACTGCTTTTCTCTGGATTCCACAACTGGAGTGTTAACACTGACGTGTGACTTACAGGACTTGACGGCCTCAGAACGCTTACTGAACGTGACAGCAACTGACGGCCAACATTTTGCCGATACCTTGGCGCTCCGTCTCCAATTGGTGAGACAGCAGAGTCCAACAGTTGATTCCTGGGCATCCCTGGACTGCAGGGAGATGGGTGTGGCTCAACGTCTCGCTGAGCAGCTAGCGCGCGCTGCTAAGAACAATCGTCGGGATGACCCCATCAGCTTGTTGTCACCTCCTCCTCCGGTAGTGAACGCCTACGCGCCTGAACTATTACTCCTGCCTTTGGAGGTTCGTGTGCGAGAGAACAGCGACCCGGGCACGGTGGTGCTCCAGGTTGACGCCGATGACGAGGACAGCGGCTACCCAGGCCACCTCGTGTATGCCATCTCCTCCGGCAACGAGGAATCTGTGTTCATGATAGATATGGAGACCGGGTCCTTGACGGTTGCGGGACTGCTGGACCGAGAGAGACTTGCACGCTACAACCTCAACTTAACCGTATATGACCTGGGAAGACCGCAACGTTCTACATATCGCCAAATTGCCGTCACTCTCGTCGACGAAAATGACAATGCACCTGACTTCGACAAGCCCGCCTATAGTTTCTTCCTGCCAGAGAATGTGGCAAACGGCACGAGTGTGTACGAACTGCGGGCCCACGACCCTGACGAGGGCATTAACGGTGTTGTGACCTACAGCTTGGCTACGGACACCAAAGACTTCAGACTAGATCCCGTCACAGGTCGGCTGAGCGTGGCATGGCCCCTTGACCACGAGACCCACGACGTGTATGAGCTGCGGGTGGTGGCGTCTGACGGCGGAGCGCGCTCAGCCCATGCCTACGTCACCATTCAGGTGGCCAATATCAACGACTGCCCTCCTGTGTTTCCCACTGAGCGATCAACGGCCGTGCGTGTCCCAGAAGACCTTCCTGAGGGCGCCCTGGTCACCCTGGTAACAGCCCATGACCCGGACTCTCCTCGCCTGCGTTACTCTCTCGTGGGCGGCTACGAGGACATGTTTGAGCTGGACGAGGACACGGCGGCTCTACGACTGGCCAAAAGTCTGGACTACGAGACTCGCCCCGCCTATAACATCACTGTCCGTGCTACTGATGACGGCACTCCGCCACTCTCGGCCAGAACTCACGTCATCATACAGGTAACGAACAGAACTTGTTTTATTTTTCATAAACTTTATCAAACAGGCCAAAGGCAGTTAGCAGTTAAATATTTTTCCTAGCACATATCGGGGGGAAATGATATAGATTGACTGTTGACTGCTCAAGTTCCCGAGGATGTACGATAGCACTGACGTCACAACCCTTGGCGGGAGACGTGCTTGCTTTTAGATAAACCTCTTCAGCATGGCTACTCTATATAGCTCAGTAGTAAGCCGTATAACTGCTGGTAATACATGGCTGAATTAGCTATTTTAATGTTCGTGGCGGTTTAAGGTAGCCCGCTGATAATTGGGTGTAAGGTAGCTTGCTGATATGTGGTTGTAAGGTAGCCTGCAGGTAAACAAATAAAATCCTAAGGTAGCCCCTGCTAGCCCCAGTCTAATCTTAACTAGCCCTGGAGATAATTATCAAAGTATTTTGGTAAAGTAAAAAGAAAGCGAAATTATTTCCTCAGTCCATAGTAAGTAGTCGGCCAGCTAACGTTATTGTGGCAGTAAGGCAGACATAAGTAACCCGCTAGTGTATGATAGAAGAGAATAGTCCTAACCACGACCTCCAGACTGACGTCCTTCTCCGCCCGTAGGTGGTAGATGTGGACGAGAATGTTCACGCGCCGGTGTTTATGAAGGACGTGGAGCAGACCATAGTATTGGAGTCTTCGCCGCCCCACACCCTCGTCGCTACCTACAGCGCCGTCGACGGGGACCCGAACCCAGCTGACGCCGCCATCACCTATTCCCTGGTGGGTTCTGAGGGACGCGGCGTCTTCTACATCGACCAGAAGGGTGAGTATTTCGCATCTTTGTGGTGTTGCAGAGAATTTTTAATATTGTGTGCCTTCTACGTCTAGGAATTTTATGTTTCCATATAAATATTTGAAACTTGTGCGTCGGTACACTAGTAAGTTGGCCCATGTGTTTTATTTTTTGTTTGTGTATCATACATCGACGACTTTCCTAGTTCAGGTCACCAAACGCTACACGAACACCAGAAACCAACTTTTGTAACGTGTGGAGTTCTCTCCTTTATGTTGCAGATCTTACAGTGCAATATGCATGTCTGGTGTAGGGTGTTGCAAGCTTCCCTTATCTTTTATTAAAGCTCATGACCAACCTTGTTTGGAGGTCACAGTGGAAGGCTTTTGACAATCACACTCCCACGAATTTTGAAAGTCCAGTCTATCTTGCCTTCCAGCGTCTTCCATTCACAATCTAACCTCCTTTATCTCCAACCCCTCCCGCCGCCACTCCAACCCCTCCCACCGCCACTCCAACCCCTCCCACCGCCACTCCAACCCCTCCCACCGCCACTCCAACCCCTCCCACCACCATTCCACCGTCCCCCCCCACCCACCCAGGTGGGTGGTGGTGATGGAGGGTGATGGTGGTGGAGGGTGGTGGTGGTGAGTGACGGAAGGGAGTGGAAGGGTAACGGGAGGTGGTGGGAGGATGACGGGAGGTGGTGGTGGTGGGAAGGGCGATGGGAGGGTAACGAGTGGGCGGGGGGGGTCGTTCCACCTCCTTGGCTCTCTCTGACCAGGCTGCCGGGTTGATGAAAGGCCAGATAGCCAAATGCAGGAGGCAGATAGCGTTGTGGCCGCGCTCGCCACCACCACCACCACCACCTCCGCCGCTACTTTCAGATCTTGAACACGCTTCATCTGGTTCCTCCCCTATCCCGCCCTCCTCCTCCCGCCCTCCTCCTCCCGCACTCCTCCTCCCGCACTCCGCCTCCCGCACTCCTCGGTCTCTCCCGCCGGCTACTCAGCTTTTTTTTCCCTCGTGGACTACATCACGGGCTCGTCTAGTTAATTACCGAGGTGAAGAAGTAGCCGGACTGCGGTGGTTGGAACGAATACCACGCCATGTTTACACCAGTTATTGTCAGTTCTACCTCTATTAGGTTAAACACCGCTGACCACACTGAAGCTGTCTGGGAAAGAGACTTGACGTGGTCGCCTCGTTGACCAATGTTCCCTGTGATTGTTCAGTTTTTCAAAGGAGAATTTTTAGGCTCAGTTCAGGACTGGGTAATCGGTATTAGTAATTCGTCTCAGATGGTAATAATGCCGGTGTGGAGAAGCGTGAAACAGTGGATGGTTGCAGGATGGGTTGTAGTCTTGTAGCTCGGTTCTTCGTGTTGTCCTGGGTGTAGAGAGTGAGTCCGAGGGGAACTAAAAAGTGCCGTAAACATTTGGTGAACTAAAAAAAAAAGGTCACATACTGTAATACATGGACTTGATAGTGTGGCATACTTAAAGTAAATCGGGGACCACACCTAGGGGCCACCATGTCAAGACTGGCGGCAGCATCTAAAGACACGAGTATATCTCAAATTGGTTTAGGAAAGACCTGATGGTGTAGGATAATGATTTGCCAAGTATTCATAAATCATGGTATCCCGTTAATAGATTCATGTGTGCTGTGTGTTTTCCACTCTGCCCTGTTAAGGTAATGCAATATTAGGTTCCAGGAGGGTCTATGTGGGTCACTGGCCAGATGGTGGAGTGAGTCGTGGTGCTGATGTTGTGTTTATTAAACGAAATTAATGGATCACATGAAAATAAGCCCTCAGCTTATTTCACATTTAATATTAACGACCCTAACGCTATACAAACCTAACCTAACCTAATCTAATCTAATCTAATCTAGCATTAAGGTGTTCAATCAACAGGTGACCTAAGGTAGGGGCTCTAACCTTCACGGAATCCTAATAACTAACACTTGTTGCACGTCCCTAGCAGCAGCTTGAGGTCACCCGGTAACTAAGAGGACACCCCAGTCTCTGTTAATAGAACTTAATGTTGTGAGGAAACATGCCCGCCCCTTTTGAGGACACGCCCGCCCCCTATGAGGACACTTGCCCGTCTCCCTATAAGGACACTTGCCCCCCCCCATTTGAGGACGCTTGCCCTGTTCCGAAACATCCGACTAGCGCCACAGTTCATATAACATACACATTCCTTATGTAAGATATCAGGAAATGTTGGTAGCACTAATTACATAAATCACAATATTAGGCTGCTACAACACCGCTCACAATGTGTATGCGACATGGAGAAATGAGGCATAGAGTTCCGATTACGTGTGGCCGAACCCATCCACGCGCACGGCTACCAATGATAGGAATGCCTGGTGGGCCTTTTTGAAACACTTCGTTTGTAGTGTCAGATTGTTTCGAGCAGGAATTGTAACGGTAGATTTTATACCGAGTGTATGTGCGTGCGTGTGTGTGTGTGTGTCTGAAGGCTGGGTGTTGGCTGGAGTTGATATAGATCGTAATTGTGTTGTATTTTGCAAGTTACTGTGAGAAATAAGATGTAGTTAGTCGTCAAAATGATGGAAGTTTCGTGGTTAAGACGGCAGGTGAGGTTAGGTTATTCTCCTAAGATGAAGAAATAAGGTGTACTTCCCCTCTTACTCTCCCAGGGAACACGTGTCTGAGAGTGAGGGTGACTTAACACTGTTCTACTAAGATTATGGTTAAAATAATTCCTTCACATTAACTCTTGCTGAGGCTAGGAGTTTTTTTTCGGGAGGAGGGGAGGGGGGGGGTGTAGGGGTAAGGGGGAGACCTAGTTAACATAGATGAGAGGGGGAGGGGTAATTCCGGGGAGATTTCCTTCCCTTCTAGGATAATGGCATAATTAACTCCTTAGGATAAAGAAGAAAAAATTAGAACAGGTGAATAAAAATGTTGGGGAGGGTCTTGTAGGATGGGGAGGGTAATAGCCGTGTGCAGGCCTGGGACGACGTTGTAATTAAATACTTGAGATGGAGAGAGGCGGCCATGTTAAGTGAGGCTCCACCATTCTCCACTCAACCACCCCTCACCCTCCACCCTCCACCCCTCCCCCTCCACCCCCCCCCTCCACCCCCCTCCCCCCCCCCCACCCTCCACCCTCCACCCTCCCACCCCTCACCCTCACCACCCCCTCCACCTCACCCCCTCCACCCCTCACCCCTCCACCCCCCCCCACCTCCCCTCCCACCCTCCACCTCACCCCCCCCCCTCCACCCTCACCCCCCCTCCACCCTCACCCCCCCTCCCCCTCCACCCCCCCCCCCTCCACCCCTCACCTCCCCTCACACCCTCACCCCCCCCCCCCCTCACCCCACCCTCCCCTCCACCCACACCCCCCTCCACCCCACCCCCTCACCCTCACCCCCTTCACCCTCACCCCACCCTCACCCCTCACACCCCCTCCACCCACCCCTCCACCTCACCCTCCACCCTCCACCCCCTCCACCCTCCACCTCCCCCCACCCACCCTCCACCCCCTCCACCCTCACCCTCCACCCTCCCCCTCCACCTCACCCCACCCTCACCTCACCCTCCACCCACCTCCACCTCACCACCCTCACCCCTCCACCCTCACCCCCTCCCCTCACCCCTCCACCCTCCACCCTCCACCCCTCACCCTCCACCCTCACCCCCTCCACCTCACCCCTCCACCCTCACCCCCTCCACCCTCACCCCTCCACCCACACCCCCCCTCCACCCCCTCCCCCACCCCTCCACCCCACCCACCACCCCCCTCCACCCTCACCCCCCCTCCACCCTCACCCTCCCTCACAACCTCTCCAGCTCACCAGGGATAATACACCCGCCTGTTGATCATAAAGAGAGTCATTTGGTGAGATTATCGCGCTGTCACGGCCCGTTGAGCTGTTTTAACTACGGTGTGAGGGAAGGGAGAGAAGGGGGTGAGGAAAGGGTGAATTACTGGAGATGAAAAGTAGGCGTAGTTTATCTGGTGACGGTGTGAGGCGGTGCGTGGTTGGGTGTGGATTATAAGGTGTTTTGGTGGGTGAGGGGACTGGGGCTAGTGTGGATCATGATCAATTCGAGAGTGGCCATGATCGGGTACTGAGTGAGGAGGAGCCGGGTTTACTCTCTTTAAGTTGTGTGAGGCGATGCTGTGTGTGTGTTGTGGCAGGTTGTTGTGTAAGGCACCTGTAACTGACTGTGTCGGGGTGACTGGCTGTCGTGTAGCTGACTGGTGTAGTTTTATGACCGTCGTGTACTGGCTGGTGTAGTTGACTGGCCGTCGTGTAGCTGACTGGTGTAGTTGACTGGCCGTCGTGTTTATTTTCCATACACTGTGTTTGACGATGTTGAGTGTCGGGGTGCTGGTGGAGGAGGTCTGTGTAGGGAGTTTTATCACCGCTGTTATCAGTAAAGGGCGACGCCTGGACATGCTTCGTGGCTCATGTAGGTCACCTGTCCCCCATCCACTCCTCCCTCTTTCCCTCCCATCACTCTCTTCCTCTCCATTCCTCCTCTCTATTTCTCCTCTCTATTCCTCCTTTCATCCTCTCTATTCCTCCTTTCCTCAATCCTTCAATCTCAGGTTCGTGCCCTGCTCTTTTCCTGTCCTCTTTGAACCTCCGGGCCACACCACCATCGCTCTGTTTTGGCCAGGACTGCCACCACTATCACCACCATTATCACACTGGACACACTGGGAACACAATGAATGTTGACTCTCCCTCCTCCTCTTCCTTCCTCTTACCACCCTCATCTCTCCTCTCTCCTATCCCCTTCCTTCCTCCCTATCCTCTCGAGCCACAGTGAATTCTGAGGGTGCACAATAACACGGGTTTAGACCAGCATTATTAGACCTCGTTGTGGTTCTCTCTGATGTGGGTCCTCGTCGCCGGGTGAACGCTGGGAATGGAATTGACAACCCACAAATACATCCATGAGATTAAAGCCTGATTTTGCCTAAAGTAAACACATGAATTGGCTCAAGCTCGGGGTGAAATTATGCATGTTATGAGTT